CAGGAGCTCACAGTCTACTGAGAAAAATAGATGCAAACAGGTAACTCCAATTCATCAATACTAGAGATCTAAAATGAGTGACCATGGCCTACTGTAGGCTACAGACATCAGCAGGGAGGTCATGTACATAGAAAACAGGGAGCCTAAAGGTCTAGAGACAACATGAAGGTAAGAGAGATGCAGCTGTTGGGGAGCGGGGGGTAGCAGGGGGTATAAAAAGAAGGCTACATTCAAAGTAGGAAATCCTGGAGTCTGAATCCTTGAAGCAAAGCAGCTGGAGTGTCAGTAACAGTCAAAAGAGGCCGAAGAAACTCAAAGCCACTCGAGGACAACAAGGTGAAGTCAGTTGGAGCAGTTCCGTGAGTTTGTGGAGATTATAATCCAGAGGCTACGGCTACCACCAAAGGTGGAGAGAAAGAGCATGAATAATGCAGTCAAGGGGGCCTCCCTGGTGGCCTACAGATTAAGTCTCAGCACTATCAATGCCACAGCCTGAGATTAATCCCCAGCCAGGGAGCTACCCACATATGGCACAGCAGACCTCTCCTGTCTCGTCCACTGCTCACCTTAGCTATTTCAGTAAAACCCACCTGTTCTGCTCCCCACTCTGTCTCTGGTGAATCCTCTCATCCCCCACACCTCTGGCCTACAACCCAGTTCTTCTACGCAAAATTAAAAAAAAAAAAAAAGGAGAAGAATGCAGGCAAGAGTCATGAAATCGGTCCTCCCTTGGTGGCGCAGCGGTTGAGCGCTGGGTTGCGAAGCTGCCCACAGCCTCTGCAGCGCTGGTTCAATCCCCGGCCACCGGCGAGGGTCCCACATGGCGCACAGGCCTCTCTGGCCGCCCACTGCTCCCCTCAGCAGTGTACTTCATCAGTCTGCCTGTTCTGCTCCCCACTCTGGCTCTGGTGAATTCTCTCACCCTCCCGCGCTTCTGACTGTATCTAGTGCATGTATAAGTAAATAAATAAATCTTTTTTTTTAAAAAAAAAAAGTCATGAAATCTAGCCCTGACTTTATCTACAGCCTTGAAACTCACATGCCTCTCCCAGGCCTCCCATTTTGCGCCTATAAAATAAGGAGGCTGGACTAAATGGCCGTTTAGATTCCTAAAGTTATACTGAACAGCTTTGTATATGGAATAATAGTTATGAAGTTGAGAAGATATTTATAAACTTTGTTGAAGAACTGTATCATATTTCCTAACAAAATTCAAATATGTTACACTAGTGACTTTCTTATGTGTAGGACTTCAAGATTCACACAGCTCTTTTCAATATTAACCACCAATCTGAGAGCCCTATAATCTGCACTTTATAGCTGAAGTAACAGATTTCACAAGGCTAAAGCAACCACAGCCTTGAATTGATAAATACTGTTTCTCCTAAAACAGATTCTAGATGGCATGCTTCATTGAGATACCCAACTCATTAACATTTGGTTTCAAAAATTTGTTCCTTCGGCAAGTAACAGGATGCCCCGTAATTGTACTAAAGCTAACAATGGCATTCTAAAATCCAACAGATTACCTGTCCACTGAAATGAATAGGAGGTACTGTTTGACTTTATTAAACTTTCATAATGTTGAAAGAAAGCTTTATAAATGAAGACAAATCCATCCTTGTGTATTATTTAATACAGAATATGGCAGAAAAATAACCTTAACTCTATTCATCTAGTCTTGTGTAACTCATATAAGTAATCACTGAGGCAAGCCAGAAACTTTATTTTTTTTTTCCTAACAATGATTCCTTTCCCTCTACCACTCAAGATAGTAGTCACATCCCAAGTTGTTAGTTTTGATACCTAGTTTATGCCAACTACATACCAACTAATCAAGAAAGCAAAGAAATTCCTAGGTACTCAAAAGGAAGAACAACTCATTTATGAACCATCCTTCCCTTGCTAATTCATCTATTAAAAGTGCATTTTTTAATATCATACCAAAGTTTACTGATTACATGAAACAAAATGTTCTTTAATGAAAAAGACAAGTTGCATTCATAAAAGATGGCATCTACATTCATGACATAGAAAGCAAAACATAAATATAAAGAATAACTAAAGTGAAAAATTTAATATTTTAGAAGCTATCAACAGTTGCACAAAACCTGCACATTACATACTCTATTGCTTTTAATTCCATCACTACATTATTATGAATTTGCAAACTGAGGCTTGAATTTATACTGTTATTGGTGTCTGTGTAGCAGGAAAGGAATTTTTGTTTTCAGTTTAGTATAAACATCCTCAAACAATGGACTATTACCAACAACATGAAAATTAGCAGGATGCTTTGACAGTTCAAAATTATTGAAATGATGGGTATATGAGCCTATTATTATAGTTATTAAACTCTTTTCCCTAGTGAATACAAATATATCAATTTCATTTTCTGAATTACAGGGAATGTTCTCAATTGTGAAAAATGTAGACCAAGTTAGTTAAGGGAATTTGCATACATCTTGTCAGATAATAGAAATTAATTTCTAGAAAAGTTGCTGACAACATCTTATGTTACATGATTACTGACTAAAGATCTCTCTTTGGTATCATTCCATGACCATTTAGTACATTGAGATCAACAGCAAAAATCTGTGAATTCATAAACAAAACACATTCGATGGAAATTCTCCATCATTGATTCCTTTATACCTAAGTACAATTAAAATCATTCAAATAAAAAAATGATGAAGCAAATCAAAAAATAATATGTACAAGGCATAGTGCTATGTCACATCAGTAACATTTTTCCCAGGGGGGGAAAAAAACAGCCCAGGATTATTTAGCTCTTATCCTTAAATCATGCTGTGCAGTATTTTACCTTCCAAACCGAAACATGACATTTAAGATGCTTATTTAGAAAACTGGGAGAAAAAGACAGACATTTCTATGTGATGAAATAAGTCTAGGAAAACTCGGAGGCCAGGTAGGGGTCACTTTTTATCACACCAGCCTAGAGTTGAAGGGTGTGGGCGGAGAGGAAGTAGCAGTGTGAAGAATGAACCCTGGACCAACCCAAGCTGGTCTGCTGCATCCCCCAGACCAGCACCCACATTCTGCATCCATCATGCCCATCACCATCATGCACAAGATAAAAGCTAAAGGGGTTACCAAAGGAAGTAATGCCAAGGTGAAGAACAAGCCACAGAGAAAATCCACAAGGTTATCTAAGTGTTCCTCCAAAGCCAGGGCTGAAATCTAAAAAGGCCCCTGCAAAGAAGGGAGAGATAGGACCCAATTGGAAAAAGAAGAAAGCTGATGCTTGCAATGAAGGGAATTATCCTGCAGAAAACAGAGATGCCAAAGCAGACCAGGGAAAGGCATGACTTTGTCGGTAACTTCTGCTGAGTGTACAGTCTGAAATGCTTTATCAACTTTCAGAAAAATGAAAAATCTGTTCTGTTTTTTAAGGTTTGATGTTTGCATTCAGAACACTTAATTGTTTGGGAGGGAAGAGCATCAGTCACTAATTGAATATCTCCTGGATATCAGCTGGGTTAATTTTTGTTGTTGTTTTTATTTTATTTATTTATTTATGCATACAAGAGCTGTGGTATAGGCCAGAGGTGAGGAGGGTGAGAGGATTCACCAGAGACAGAGTGGGGAGCAGAACAGTCAGATCTACTGAAATACACTGCTGAGGGGAGCAGTGGACAAGACATGAGAGGTCTGCAGCGCCATGTGGGTTAGCTCCCTGGCTGGGGATTGATCTGCCAATAGCTTAATAGTGCTGAGACTTAACCCCTTGCACCACCAGGGAGGCCCCAGCTGGGTTAAGGGGGGAAAAAACACTTTTCCCTTCGAGTTCCTCTTGATTCCCAGGAGAAGGGGTACCTGGATGCTGGCACATATTAGTCACTTTGGCACAAACACCTTATAGATGGAGAAAAACTAAAACTCATTTTTATGTTCTCTTCTCCCTCTCTGCCTTCAGCATAGACTTGGTTCCCTTAAACCCACAGACCTGTTGAGAAGTGACTTCAAAAAAAAGTGGTTACCAGTATATCAAGCACTCTGGACTTTCCAGCACCATCAAGATGGCATCCCTCCAAAGAGAAGTGGTTCAATACTGAGGATCTTCAGATGATAATTCTGTCCATTTGTGTTTCATTTCCCAAAAGTCAGGGTTGGCTTGTAAAAAGTTGCTAAACAACATGTGAAGTGTAATATGTCAACCCTCACTCAAAACTTCCCCTGGTCAGAACATCAGGTGAAGACTTCCCTGGGCCTCAGGGTGGTATTCTGATTTTGATAGTCCATAGGAGAGGGGAGTTTGAAAGTTGTTGTAGACTGTTAATGCTTGTCTGGCACTGTTCTGCCTGAAATACCATGATTATTTGTGGAAAGTATCTTTAACGAAACTGGAGAGTTTGAAAAAATGCCATGTGTTAAAATTCACATGTAAGTACAAAAAAATGAAACTGGGCACCCCTATAAAATCAAAAATATGGATGAACACTAAATGTATGACCCAAATTCTAAGCACATGGAAAGTTCATGCTCTACTGCTAGTTCATCTGTCTCACCTAGCTGTTAAAACTAGGGAGACGACATTCAAGAAATATGCCAAAATTTCAATCTCAATCTGACAGAAAAAATTTATGTTCCACAGGTCCTACCAGGCAGTAATGAGTTCTTTTATCACCTGATATCAGTATCTAGAAGCAGACCTGAGGCTTCCGGAAAAATCATTCTAGAAGGGAATTTGATAGAGACTCATTAATGACAACCTGAAAGGATTTGTGCTTTCTTTCTTAGCTCGCTATTCCAATGACTTCATTCAGCTCATATTTCAATTCATCCTGAAAAATGAAAGAGGTTAACATGTCCTTTGTGGGGTAATCGGGAGGATCAATTTCGACTTCTAGGTGAACTACTCACATAAATTTCCAAAGATCAAAATTACCTAAGTAAATGGTGTGTGCACAGCAATCCCCGATCAGATTTCACAGTTCAGATTTTCAATACCAAAATGTAATCAACACTACAATACTCACTTTTAGTTTCTTGTTTAGTTTACAGCAGTATCTGTACACCATTGCCAAGTTCAGAGGTCCAAAATCTGCATAGAAACTGAGATTTTTTTTAAAAGCAGTAGTTAGTAGAAATATAGTTTCTAGAAACATCAGTGCTTATTTTTATTTTCAATTAAGGTGATAATCAAATTTTTATTATCTTCAGGGAGAAAGGTCAGCACATCATTGATTCATAGTAATCCAAATAATGGTATCACCCTACTAACGCCATCCAGTTATTGTAACCGGTCTGTTAACTGGGAACCAATTAAACAGCTTTAAGTCCCACCTCCATTTATCTCCTTGACAGGATGTTAAAAGGATTGAGAAACAGGCATGAAAAGGACCACCACAACCATAATATGTAGGTGGCTGACATGTCCTCGGTTCGTTTCTTTACAAATCTACTTAGTCATATTCATGAGCTCTGGGTTCGAACTGCAACTCTGCCATTCAAATGGTGCTTCAATTCTCAAATATCTTAAACTCAGTGGTCTTTTTTTCAGTTTCGTTCTGCCTCAACTTCCTGTATTATATGATATGCTGGCTCACCTCCCTCTGTGTACCTCATTACATCTTCAGAATACAACACTCATGAGATCTCGCCCCTCCAATGTCAAGTGTTTAACTAAGAACCCAGTGGAAAAGAGATTGCTCCTACGCTGGCGACCAATCACAGTCTTTTTCATCTTCAACTGCCTAACGGACCTCAAATCTACAGATCCCTCCAACACTGGGAACTCAGAATGTATAAAACTCAACCCATTTTCCTTCTAATCTGCCCTCCAGAGTAAAAATATTTTGCTTCTCCCAGTAGCTCAGGCATGAATCTCCCAACCACAATAGGACACAAATAAATCCTAACTGAATTCTCATATATCAAATTGGCTAACATTCCAAGCAACCCCTTCTTTATCCATTCCTACTTTAACAACAAAAGTCTAAATCTTCATCTCACACCTTTACTGTTTAAATTCTCTCTTCCTCATGCTCAATCACCCTACATTCCACTCTAGAGATTAATCTTTGTAAACTCTCATATATCCTCCCACTATTCAAAAAGATTTAATGGTTCCTCATTCCCTTCAGAATGATTACTTGGTCCAGCAATCAAAGTCCTACATGTCACATCTTTCACTTTCAGGCTGACCACATCTCCTACAGGTCCCATATGGAAGCTTCATTCTAACAAATATGAACATTCCTCATTCTCAAGTACTCCATGCATATTCTTTTTTTTTTAGGATTTATTTATTTATGCATACAAGAGCTGAGGTGCAGGACAGAGGTGCAGGGGGTGAGAGGATTCACCAGAGACAGAGTGGTAACAGAACAGGCAGACTGACGAAACACACTGCTGAGGGGAATAGCAGGTGAGACAGGAGAGGTCTGCTGTGCCATGTGGGTCAGTTCCCTAGCCAGGGATCAAACTCATGCCCATAGCTTCATAGTGCTGAGACTTAATCCCTTTCACCACCAGCGAGGCCCTATGCATATTCTTAATCCAAGCCTATGATCACATTGGTCTCTTGGCCTGAAACACTCTTTTCTCATTCATTACCTGTAGCTTCCTCAAAATCCAGTTCTAATCCTACCTTCTCCTTTTATACAGCCTTTCCAATCACGCTTAGACAACACTATGCATCTCGCAAATTCCCAAAGCGTAGCAGCTGAGCCATTCGGGTATTACACAGATTATCACACACCATGAATTATCTTATGCATGGGCCCGACCTGCCCAACTACGTGTAAACCTCTCACTCAGAGATTGTATCTAATACCTTATGCACTTAGTAGGATGTTCTGCTCATAATATAAAACATCAACAACTAAGTCTTCAGTATGAATATTTTTCTCATGACGGCGCAAATTCAATTTAGAATATACCATAAATGAAATAAGCCATAAACTACAAGTTTATAAAAGATCCATCCCCCAAAATGCCTTTATTTTGTGGTCAATTTTTTTTTTTGCTACTCAAATTCCACTATCATAGTTACATCATTATACTACATCAAAACTAGCAATAATCACTTGTCTTACATAAGAGCACTAAGCTTGTACATTTTATCCATTATATCAGTAATGTTTTAGAATTTATATTCCACGTAACACTAAAATTAGCTGTCCTTGCAAACAGTCTTCATGACAAGAAAAAACAGAACAATGGCAATACCTGATGGGTACCCAAATACTATCCCAATTAAAAAGAGAGAGAACAGGTCTCCCTGATGGTGCAGCAGGTTGAGCACAGCGCTGTGAAGCTGTCCACAGACTCTGCAGTGTGGGTTCGATTCCCGGTCAGCCAGAGAGATACCCACATGGCGTGGAAGACCTCTCCTGTCTCACCCGCTGCTCCCCTCAGGAGTGTTTTCAGTCGTCTGCCTGTTCTGCTCCCTGCTCTGTCTCTGGTGAATCCTCTCACCCTCCCACTCCTCTGGCCTGTACCCCAGTTCTTTTATAAATAAATAAATCTTTAGAGAGAGAGAGAGAGAGAGAACACAGAATTGCCAAAAAGGAAACATGCAATGATTTGAGATAAAAGGGTCTTGATTTACTGCTAATGTTTCCCTTAAGGAAACAGGTTGCTGTAAAAATGTCAGAGAGCTACAATGAAGGTATACCTCTTGATCACACTCCCAGGTTAAGGGTGGAAGAGAAACATGCAATCTTAACCTAGATGATCCCTCATATATTTGAAGCTCAATGGGCCAGCTTTTTTATCCCAGAAAAGGAGTAATGGGCTTCAAGTCACACTAAAAAATTTTTTCCAAAAACTTTGCACAGTCAAGATTAACTTAGACCAGCTCTTTCAGAGTCAGAACTGTCACAAAAACAAAGTAACAAACTCTGTAAAGGTCCTTTATATATCCTTTTCTTCCAGTTCATACAGTTCTAAAAATATATATGCATTTATAATAATATGGTTTTGTGTGTATTGTTTTCTAATAAGCTAAATATATTTCTAAAATGTCAAGATCATTGGGCAAAAAAATAATCATAGTTGCTGACACCATGCCGAGTTATCACTCAAGTTAGTGATAAAAATAAGATGCCAGAAACAAAGAAGACATCTCCCAACAATATGCTGCTTTGCTAGAATCTTCCTCACCAGTGGTGGAAAAATATGGAAACACTGATAAGCCAGACCTAGAAATACTAGAGGAAAACATTAAGATAAAAAAATCAATTGACACTTTCAAACTGTGTTAGAAAGTATAAAATATGTACTTGGGCACCTGAAATCAAGTTAGGAGAACAAAATTGCTGGACTCAAGGTAGAGGAGGAAGAGAATTGGAAGATCATCACCCCAGGGACAGTGGAAAGAGAAGGAGAAATAGGTAAGCCCAGTAGAGACACAATTAAGGAAATGTATGGCTGAACATCTTAAGTCTGAAGGCAGTGGACAGCATCTTCTCCATTCTGGCCATTTCCAGAGATTCCCAGTACCACAACCAAACCTGAGGTCACACTCTTATGGGAGGGAAGGAGGGGGAAGCTGGCCTCTTGTGGGCAGGGAACACTATCGTTATATTGTTGTTGTTTTTTTAAAGATTTATTTATTTATGCATGCAAGAACTGGGGTACAGGCCAGAGGTGCAGGGGGTGAGAGAATTCACCAGAGATAGAGTGGGGAACAGAACAGCCAGACCGACTGAAATATACTACTGAGGGGAGCAGCAGGAGAGCCAAGAGAGGTCTGCTGCACCATGTGGGTAGCTCCCTGGCTGGCTGGGGATCGAACTCGTGCTACAGAGGCTGTGGACAGCTTCACAGCGCTGCGCTCAACCCCTTGCACCACAGGGAGGCCCTGTGGTTATATTGTTTTACTGTTCCAGAGTAAACTCTCTCCTCAGAATAAATACATGAACAAAGGATGACTCTCCCTTACCTATTTGAATATTTCCTCTTATTACTACACATCAGTAACAGAAAGAAACTCATGAATTAAGTGAAAGTCAATCTGTTTTTAATTCCATATGTGTAAATGGCTAAAATCTTATGTTTTCATGTTCTAACAGGAAAGAAATTAAAACAATTGGAGTCCTGAAATCGGGCTGGGAGGGGAGGGAGAATCATCTACTTATGGGGAAGACGAAGAAAGGGGAGCTCAGGGTGAGAGCAAATATTTACCAGGGTCACCCACTTTCTACTGGGCCACCCGCTACCTACAACATCTAGTCCTATTTGAAGAGAAATAGAAATTGAGCCTAGAAGCCTTTTGTTATATCCAGCATGTCTAGGTCTTCTCATAAGATTTAGGAAGTTTGTGATGTATCATTATTTTGTGGTTTTGCTTTTTTTAGCAAACTCTAACTTCAGTGAGTCCATTCCCAGAGGAATCATTGTTTAAAACACTGTTTCATCTGAAAATGTTCAACTCCTCAGCAAGAAGATAAGCTATATTCCAAGCAATAATCACTCAACAAAATGTAAGAGCACTTACTCCAAGCACTCCCAGTTGGCATACTAATCAAGGAGTGCTGATAGTACACAAAACAATAATAACTACTTCATAAACAGGATGAAAAACTTCTTAATGATCAATATAAGGCTTGTCAACTCTACCTTTACCAACACTGTGGACACTTTTTGTTCATTCACTCATTCAAATATTGAATGAAGGGGCCTCCCTCGTGGCGCAAGGGGTTAAGTATCAGCACTATCAAGGTATCACCAGCCACTGCTGCACAAGTTTGATTCCCAGTCAGGGAGCTGACCCACATGGCACAGCAGACCTCTCCTGTCTCACCCACTGCTCCCCTCAGCAGTGTATTTCAGTCAATCCTCCTGTTCTGCTCCCCACTCTGTCTCTGGTAAATCCACTCACCACTCCATACCTCTGGCCTACACCCCAGCTCTTGTATGCAAAAATAAATAAATCTTTAAAAAAAATTGAATGAAAATTTACTGACCACCAGTCACTAACCACAAGGAACTCACAACTTAATGAGAGACAAGCAAAAATCTTACTACAGTGTGAAAAATGCTAATATGGCCATATCCACCCACCCTACCCTCTCCACCCCCCCCCAAAGCACAGTGAGAGAGAAGAG